ACATCAATTCCTCGCTATCATATACCATAAATATTTGATCATTAGTCTTTGAACTCTGCAGGTTTTAAATCGCATTGCAGGAGTAGACGAGACTTGTGATTTTGTCAAAGTCAGTGAAGTTATGATCAAGTTTAAATTTTATTCTGCATTCTTATCTTTATAGCTTTTTTATCATATCTTAGTGACGATGCAGGCTGATTTCATGAAGATGCCATTCCCTGATAATAGTTTTGATGCAGTCTATGCAATAGCCGCAACCTGCCATGCCCCAGATGCAGTGCGTAAATTTATAATCAGATGTCATTTACAAAGAATATTACCACCCTCTTTCTCTTGAAAATGTTATGCTTTTGCCTCTAATCTTTTTTCTTTTTACTTTTTAACTTGCTCTACTGGTGTAAGGTTGGGTGCTACAAGGAGATTTATAGGGTACTGAAACCTGGTCAGTGTTTTGCTGCAAATGAGTGGTGCATGACTGATGCCTTTGACCCCGATAACGAAGAACACCGAAAGATCAAGGTACTTTTCATTCACCTCGAGCATTCTTTGGAGCTGTTACAGTAAGTCATCAACCATAAGTGCTTTGAATTGTAACAAATTTACGCATGCAGGCAGAAATTGAATTAGGTAACGGCCTCCCGGATGTAAGGCTGACACGCCAATGCCTTGAAGCTCTTAAACAAGCAGGTTTCCAAGTGAGTAGCAACATCTTGGCTATTCTATATAATTAAAATAAGGGGCTTCATTTTTATTTTTCGTTTTTCTGTTTTTGATTTCTAAAGGTTGTATTGGAGAAGGATCTTGCAGTAGACTCGCCCCTCTCATGGTACTTGCCTCTGGATAAAAGTCAATTCTCACTCAGCAATTTCCGTTCGACTGCAGTTGGACGTTTTATTACCAAGTACATGGTAAGATTCTGCACATCCACTAGCTGGTTTCCTTGTCCCATTTCCTTCGCCAAATTTCCTAGTGAAAATGTGCTTTGTCTTTGTCAATGAACTTGAATTTTCCAGTGTATTTTTGTTCTCTGTCATTAAGATAATTTGTTAAGTTTTGCTAGGTAATGGCTCTTGAAAAAGTGGGAGTTGCCCCAAAGGGGAGTCAAAGGGTTCAAGCTTTCTTGGAGAAAGCATCAGATGGACTTGTAGCAGGTGGAAAGTAAGATTAGCATTCTGCTTATTAATTATTACAGAGGGGGTCATCCTTAATTCTTTCAATTTAAGACTAACGGTATCTTATTACCTCATATTTCAGGAAAGAAATTTTCACAGCAGTGTATTTCTTTTTGGCTCGGAAGCCTCATTTGGACGAATAGTGACATGAAATTGTGAACAATACGTGCTGCGCTATTTAGTCTTGATCCTGGAGAATCTGGCCAATGTAGATTGCTTTTGGTTATAGTTTGCCTTTGTTTGGGACTGGTTTGTGTGCTTAATTTCCTGTAATAAAACACGAAAATAAAATAGTCCACTGATGTTGCCTTTTGCTGATCACTGTCCTATCTTTGGGTTTATTTGCTTATTAATATTGAAATGATAACTCTCAGAAATTATGTTGTTTTCGAAGTGTCAAAATTCATGCACAAAACTCAATCGAACATTTTGAGCGAACTGTATGTTGAAAAAATAAACTAAATTCATGAANGATGTTTTTCAGAAGTTACAGTTTTTATTTGGAGTAATGAATCTAGTTTATGTTGGTATGTTGAAATAATAAACTAAATTCATGAAAATCCTAGAAGTTTCTATTCATGAATATGGGGCAATACATGAATGTGTCTTTTGATTTTATGCATGAACTTAGATAGGTGAATGTATGGAATTTCAGTTTAGCTCCTATAAATACCCAATGTATTGTAGCCATTCGATGGAAGTGGAGTTCAAGTGATAATAAGAATTCTTGTAAGTTTCCTTCACTTTTCACTTGGGTGTGTGAGTTTCTAAATATATGCTCTCCAATTTCTAACAAATTGGTATCATAGCCACTTCTATTTGGCGATAATAAAAAAAAAAAGAGATGTCGAATATAGCACCATTCCAAGTTCCATCACTTACCAAAGAAAATTATGGTGATTGGTGCATTCGAATGAAGGCTTTGCTTGGAGCCTATGAAGCATGGGAACCTACAGAGAATGGAATTGAAGAAGACGATATAGATGCCGCCACCAAGAAGAGAGACCAAAAGGCCCTCACTCTCATTCATCAAAGTTTGGATGAGAAGATGTTCGAGAAGGTTGCTAATGCAACCACCTCCAAGCAAGCATGGGATATTCTTCAAGTGGAGAAGGTGCGCCTCCAGACATTAAGAGGAGAATTCGAGTCATTGCAAATGAAGGAATCCAAATCCATTTCGGATTATATTTCAAGAGTTTTGGCTATTGTCAATCAAATGAAAAGATATGGAGATGACTTAAAAGATGATCGTGTTGTTGGAAAAAATTTGCGATATGTTGTAGTCGCCATTGAAGAGTCCAAAGATTTGGACACCATGACCATTGAAGAGCTTGCCGGCTCTTTGCAAGCCCATGAAGAAAGATTGAAGAAACCGGTTCAAGAATCAGTAAATCAAGCTTTGAAAGTAAAACTGTCTTTGAAAGATAAGGAGACACATCATAACACGTCCCAAAGAGGCCGAGGACGTGGAGGAGGTCGATTTCAAGGATAAGGACGTGGTCGTGGACGAGGAGGTCGAGGAGACAATTATTTTCAAAATAATGATGAAAAAAAGCCAAAACTTCAACCAAGGAAGCGGCCGTGGACGTGGCCGTGGAGGAAGAACAAATCAAGGGAGGTATGATAAATCAAATATTGAATGTTTCAATTGTCATCGGTTTGGCCATTATTCTTGGCAATGCTACAATGATGTGGAGGAAAAAAACAACCTTGTGGAGAGCAATAAAGAAGAAGGAGATCCTACTTTGCTTTCTCGCTTGCAAAAGTAATGAACTCGAGGAAAATAATATGTGGTACCTTGATTCCGGCGCAAGTTGTCATATTAGCGGAAAAAGAAACTTATTCATGGAGTTGGATGAATCTCTTGGCGGCAACATCACTTTTGGAGATTCTTCAAAAGTCCAAGTGAAAGGGAAATGTACGATTTTGATTCGGTTGAAAGATGGAAGCCATCAATTTATTTCTAATGTTTTTTATGTGCCGAACATGAAAAGTAACATTTTAAGTTTGGGACAACTTTTGGAGAAAAATTATGACATACACTTAAAAAATAGAAGTTCGACTATGAAAGAAGAATAGGGAAGGCTGCTAGCCAAGGTAGCCATGACAAAGAATATAATGTTTTTGTTGAATATTCAAAGTGACGTCTCTATGTGTTTGAAGTCTTGTTTTAAAGAATCATCTTGGTTATGGCATATGAGGTTCAGACATTTGAATTTTGATGGCCTAAAATTAATGAGCAAAGAAAGAATGGTGAGAGGATTGCCCTCCATAAACCATTCAAACCAACTTTGTGAGGGATGTCTTTTTGGCAAACAAGCAAGAAAGAGTTTTTCAAAAGAGTCTATGACAAGAGCTCAACATCCATTGGGGTTGATTCACTCGGATGTATGTGGACCAATCAAGCCATTATCGCTTGGTAAGAAAAATTATTTTGTACTTTTCGTTGATGATTATTCTCGCAAAACTTGGGTGTATTTCTTGAAGGAAAAATCAGAGGTGTTTGAAACTTTCAAAAGATTCAAGACAATGGTGGAGAAACAAAGTGGCTACCATATTAAAGGTCTTCGGTCCGATAGAGGTGGTGAGTTCACCTCAAATGCATTCAAGGAGTTTTGTGAGAAAAATAACATTCATCACCCCATGACAACTCCATATTCACCACAACAAAATGGAGTAGTTGAAAGAAAGAACCGCACTATTCTTAACATGGCGAGAAGCATGTTGAAGAGCAAAAACATGCCGAAGGAGTATTGGGCTGAAGCCGTTAATTGTGCGGTTTATTTGACAAACCGATGCCACACTAAAAGTGTTGACGGCAAGACACCACAAGAAGCTTGGAGTGGCTACAAGCCAAGTGTTTCTCACTTGCGAGTTTTTGGGAGCATAGCTTACACGCATATTTCAGATGAAAAAATGACCAAAGTTGATGATAAAAGTGCAAGATATGTTTTCATTGGTTATGATCAAAATTCCAGAAGTTATAAACTATACAATCCAAGCAGTGGAAAAATTATTATTAGTAGAGATGTTGAATTTGATGAAGAAAGTGCTTGGGAATGTAATCTTCCGGAAGAAGATTACAAATTCAGTCCATTCTTTGATGAAGAAGAAGAAGAAGAAGAAGAAGAAGAAGAAGAAGATTTGGTGCAACCTAATACTCCACCACCAACACCTCCACCTCCACCTCCACCACAAAATCAACAGGTTGCTGATGCAAGTTCTAGTGAAAGGCCTCAGAAAACTAGAAGTTTGCGGGAAGTTTATGAAATAACTGAAGAGGTACCGACATTAGGTGAATTTACTCAATTTTGTTTATTTATGGTAACTGAGCCTTTAGGTTATGATGATGCCGCTTGTGATGAAAAGTGGAGAGCCGCCATGGATGAAGAAATCAAAGCAAACGAGAAGAATGATACATGGGAGTTAGCATCACTACCTAAAGGTAAGAACACAATTGGTGTGAAATGGGTGTATAAAATAAAGAAAAATGCAAAGGGTGAGATAGAGAAGTATAAAGTGAGATTGGTTGCCAAAGGATATAAGCAAAAGTCGGGATTGATTATGATGAGGTGTTTGCCCCCGTTGCTCGCTTAGAAACTATTCGATTGATTATTTCCTTGGCAGCCCAAAATCATTGGAAAATTCATCAAATGGATGTGAAATCCGCCTTTTTGAATGGATTTTTGGATGAAGAAGTATATATCGATCAACCAATGGGTTATGTGGTTAAAGGACATGAAGATAAAGTTTTGAAGTTGAAGAAGGCTCTCTACGGTTTGAAACAAGCCCCTCGTGCTTGAAATAATAGAATTGATAAGTATTTTCAAACAAATGGTTTTTCGAAGTGTCCACATGAACATGCTCTCCATGTAAAGCTAAATAAAAATGGTGATGTGTTACTTGCTTGCTTGTATGTGGATGCCTTGATTTTCGCAGGAAACAATCCAAAGATGTTTGATGATTTCAAGAGAGCTATGACAATGGAGTTTGAGATGACGGATATTGGATTAATGTCCTATTATCTTGGCATTGAAGTAAAACAAAGGAATGATGGCATATTTATCTCTCAAGAAGGATATGCGAAATAAGTTCTCAATAAATTTGAGATGGAGAAATGTAAGCCGGTTAGCACCCCCGTGGAATGTGGGGTCAAATTATCTTTGCATGAAGATGGCGAGAAAATTAATCCCACATTCTTTAAAAGTCTTGTTGGTAGTTTGAGGTATTTAACATGTACAAGACCCGATATTCTATTTGGCGTTGGACTTATGAGTCGACACATGGAAGCTCCTACTACATCACATTTGAAGGTAGCCAAAGGGATACTTCGGTGCGTTAAATGTACGATTGAGTATGGAATTTTTTATACATCTTCCCATGACTTTAAGCTTGTTGGCTATTGTGATAGCAATTGGTCCGGTGATATTGATAGTCGGAAAAGTACTACTGGGTTTGTTTTCTTTATGGGAAATTCGGCATTTACTTGGAATTTTAAGAAGCAGCCTATTGTGACTCTTTCAACATGTGAAGTAGAATATGTTGCTGCTACTTCTTGTGTGTGTCATGCTATTTGGTTGAGAAGTTTGTTGAAGAAACTTCATTTACCACAAGAAAGTTCGACTAAGATTTATATTGATAATAAGTCTGCTATAGCATTAGCCAAAAACTCGGCATTTCATGATAGAAGTAAGCATATTGATACTAAGTATCATTTTATTCGAGATTGCATATTCGAGGAAGAAGTAAAGCTTGAATTCGTGAAGTCTCGAGACCAGATTGCAGATATTTTCACGAAATCCTTAAAGTTTGATGTTTTTCAGAAGTTACAGTTTTTATTTGGAGTAATGAATCTAGTTTAAGGGGGGATGTTGAAAAAATAAACTAAATTCATGAAAATCCTAGAAGTTTCTATTCATGAATATGGGGCAACACATGAATGTATCTTTTGATTTTATGCATGAACTTAGATAGGTGACTGTATGAAATTTCAATTTAGCACCTATAAATACCCTATGTATTGTAGCCATTTGATGGAAGTAGACTTCAAGTGATAATAAGGATTCTTATAATTTTCCTTCATTTTTCACTTGGGTGTGTGAGTTTCTAAATATATGCTCTCCAATTTCTAACATAATTTTCCACTTGAAATTTTTTAAAATTTTTGATATTTTTGTGTTCATTTGGCTTTGTTTTACATGAAAATTGTCCATCAAAATGATAATATTGTCCATTATAAAAATTTTTTCCATTGCCAAAATTTTTTTAAAAAAAATTTCCTAAAAAATCATTTTTTTTTTATCAAACTTTAGTGTTCGTTTGACTTTGTTTTATATAGAAATTATCCATTAAAGTAATTTTTTTTTTTTACAATTGGTTATGAAATTTGTTTTCATTGCCAAAAAAAAAAAGGTGGAATCAGAT